GAACAGCAGCAGCAGCAGCAGCAGCAGCAGCAGCAGCAGCAGCAGCAGCAGCAGCAGCAGCTGGGGCTCGAAGGAGCAAGGGGCGGGGAGGGGAGCAGGAGGGCGGCGTTCTCATCTCTGCCCCCATGGGCTCTCAAAAAATACTGTGGCCGGAGCTGCCGCGGAACTCCGCCGACTTAAAGGTGCGTCGACGACGGCGGTGGCCGCCTGAGAGCTTGGAACCTTGAAGCCCCCAGTCTGACCCCTGTGCCCCTCCCGAGACGGGAGCTCACTTGGAGAAGCTACCCGCCTGGGCCAGCCTCTTCAGCCCCTCCATTGTCCTGTCCACGCGCTGGGCCCTGTCCGGCGCCGCCTTGATCTTCGCGTCAAAGCTCGCCAGCGTCCTCCTGGCCTGCTCCCGCTCCTGGTGCTCCATGCGGGACCTGGCCACGAAGCTGATCTGCCCGACCTTGCCGGGGCGAAGCCGATCCCGCTGCACGAAGTCGACTTTGAGCGGGGCGTTCATCCCCTGCTCCTCAAGGTAGTTCGGGCTGCTGGCGCCGGCGCCGGCCCATGCCACCTGGGCCCCCGCGAGCGCGGCCACCAGCCCGAGCGCGAAGCCGGCCAGCACGGGGGCCGCGCCCTCCCCGCCCGCGCCCGTCTCCGGGGCGGGCACCTGCTGCTGCAGCTGCGCACGCAGGGCGCCGTGGGCGGGGCCCGCGCGCACGCGGCCCGGCTGCACGAACGCGCCGCCGCAGGCGGCGGCGGCCACGAGGGCGACCGCGAGGGCGGCAGCGCGGGGGGCCATCGCCATAGCACGGGCAGGGCGGGGCGAGCTGTCGGCGGGGCGGTCCGGGCAAACAAAGCGCCTGCGGTCAAGGGGCGGCCCCGAGGAGGCGGGGATGGGGGTGGAGTGGAGCAGCTTGTGACGGGGGATCGGAGGAGCAGCCAAGGCCAACGGAGTCCTACCAGCCCTCTTGGCGTGGGTGCTTCGGGGAGTATAGTTTTCCAACCTCTCTCTTCCCCTTCGGGGAGAGGTTCCCCTCCCTCTCCTTGGGTCTCTGGAGGGGGTAGGTTCGCGGGGCGCTGGAACGTCCATGGCTCCAAGACGGCGCCAGATAGCCCAAGATGGGCTCCAAGATGGTGCGAGATAGCCCGAGATGGCCTTGAAAAAGCCTCCCACATGCCTCCAAGAAGCTCCATGACCAACCACCCCACGACGGCTCCAAGTGGCCACGGAGCCTCCCAAGGACCCCCCCTCCGAGAGGCCAAAACCCTGTCGAAACCTAGAAACATCCAATGTGCTTATTTTCTCGCCTTTTCGCTTCCGATGGGCCGTTGAGGAGCGCTTCAAGAGGCAAGCTTTCGGCCTCCGACGAGGCAGGGCCGTAATCAAGAACCCCCGGTTCTTTGATCGATGGCCCCCAAAAGCGCCCCCAAGGCCCCCCACAAGAGGGGCCCAAGAGTGGCCCAAGAGGGCCCCCAGATGGCCCATGTGAGCTGTCAAGAGGCTCCCATATCGGCAGATCCGCGATCTTCGGTCTCACAACTGCGCCCCCACCCCCGCCCCCACCCCCACTGCGTGCTCCCACACTCCCCTGATCAATGCAACTCGCCTGGGAATCGTTGCTGGATGGGCTGCTGGGGATGCGCAAGGCGTCAAGAAGTGTAAATCACTGGTCGAGAGGCCCCCGCAGAGGGATCACGGTGGGCTGCCCTGCGGCTTCGCGCGCAGCCCGTGCACAGACAGCCTTCGTGCTACCATAAGGAACGCTGGATAAGGAACGAAGGGGCTTTTCTGGCCACGGCGAGCCTCGGCTACGAACAGGTTCCGCCGCCTAGAACTAAGAAGCGGCCCGAAAACCAGAGCCCCTCCTGAGCCCAGTGGTCCTTATTTCAGCGTCCTGATTGCACCCCGCCCTCCCCTCCCGTTGCTCCTCGCCCTCCTCGTCTCCTCCCCCCCATTGGGCCGTTCCCACCTCAGTCGGACGCCTCCCCGTGCCCGCCGTGGCAGCTGACCCTGCTTCGGGTCGCTCGCTCGCCCCCGGCTCGGAGCAGCAGCACTGGCGGCGGCGATAGGAGCCTGGGCAGGAGGAGGGAGAGGAGGAGGAGCAGGAGCTTGGGCAGCCGCAGCAGCTGGAGCGGGAGGAGGAGGAGGAGAGGACGAGGAACAGCAGCAGCAGCAGCAGCAGCAGCAGCAGCAGCAGCAGCAGCAGCAGCAGCAGCAGCTGGGGCTCGAAGGAGCAAGGGGCGGGGAGGGGAGCAGGAGGGCGGCGTTCTCATCTCTGCCCCCATGGGCTCTCAAAAAATACTGTGGCCGGAGCTGCCGCGGAACTCCGCCGACTTAAAGGTGCGTCGACGACGGCGGTGGCCGCCTGAGAGCTTGGAACCTTGAAGCCCCCAGTCTGACCCCTGTGCCCCTCCCGAGACGGGAGCTCACTTGGAGAAGCTACCCGCCTGGGCCAGCCTCTTCAGCCCCTCCATTGTCCTGTCCACGCGCTGGGCCCTGTCCGGCGCCGCCTTGATCTTCGCGTCAAAGCTCGCCAGCGTCCTCCTGGCCTGCTCCCGCTCCTGGTGCTCCATGCGGGACCTGGCCACGAAGCTGATCTGCCCGACCTTGCCGGGGCGAAGCCGATCCCGCTGCACGAAGTCGACTTTGAGCGGGGCGTTCATCCCCTGCTCCTCAAGGTAGTTCGGGCTGCTGGCGCCGGCGCCGGCCCATGCCACCTGGGCCCCCGCGAGCGCGGCCACCAGCCCGAGCGCGAAGCCGGCCAGCACGGGGGCCGCGCCCTCCCCGCCCGCGCCCGTCTCCGGGGCGGGCACCTGCTGCTGCAGCTGCGCACGCAGGGCGCCGTGGGCGGGGCCCGCGCGCACGCGGCCCGGCTGCACGAACGCGCCGCCGCAGGCGGCGGCGGCCACGAGGGCGACCGCGAGGGCGGCAGCGCGGGGGGCCATCGCCATAGCACGGGCAGGGCGGGGCGAGCTGTCGGCGGGGCGGTCCGGGCAAACAAAGCGCCTGCGGTCAAGGGGCGGGCCCGAGGAGGCGGGGATGGGGCTGGAGCAGCTCGTGACGGGGGAGCGGAGGAGCAGCCAAGGCCAACGGAGACCCACCAGCCCTCTTGGCGTGGGTGCTTCGGGGAGTATAGTCTTCCAGCCTCTCTCTTCCCCTTCGGGGAGAGGTTCACCTCCCTCTCCTTGGGTCTGGAGGGGGTAGGTTCGCGGGGCGCTGGAACGTCCAAGATGGCCCAAGATGGTTCCAAGACGGCGCCAGATAGCCCAAGATGGGCTCCAAGATGGTGCGAGATAGCCCGAGGTGGCTCTGAAAAAGCCTCCCACATGCCTCCAAGAGGCTCCATGACCAACCACCCCACTGGCAACGGAGCCTCCCAAGGACCCTCCACGAGAGGCCAAAACCCGGTCGAAACCTAGAAACATCCAATGTGCTTGTTTTCTCACCTTGTCGCTTCCAACGGGCCCTTGCGGCCTCACAATGGCTCCAAGACCGCCCGAGAGAGCCCCCAAAGGGGCCCAAGAGGGGCCCAAGACGGGCCCAAGACGGCCACAGGAGCGCTTCAAGAGGCAAGCTTTCGGCCTCCGACGAGGCAGGGCCGCAATCAAGAACCCCCCCTTCTTTGATCGATGGCCTCCGAGATGGACCCAAGAGCGCCCTCAACACCCCCAAAAGGGGCCCAAGAGGGCCCCAAATGGCCCATGTGAGCTGTCAAGAGGCCCCCATATCGACAGATCCACGATGGCATGTATGGTTGACTCCTGGGCCTGCTCAGGCTGATCCCGATCTTCGGTCTCACAACTGCGCCCCGCCCCCCCCCGCCCTCTGTATATTCCACTGCGTGCTCCCACATGTCTCTGATCAATGCAACTCGCCAGGGTATCGTTGCTGGATGGGCTGCTAGGGAAATGCGAGGCATCAAGAATTGTAAATCACCAGTCGAGAGGCCCACGCTGAGGGATCACGGTGGGCTGCCCTGCGGCTTCGCGCGCAGCCCGTGCACAGACAGCCTTCGTGCTACCATAATGAACGCTGGATAAGGAACGAAGAGGCTTTTCTGGCCACGGCGAGCCTCGGCTACGAACAGGTTCCGCCGCCTAGAACTAAGAAGCGGCCCGAAAACCAGAGCCCCTCCTGAGACCACAGTGGTCCTTATTTCAGCGTCCTGATTGCACCCCGCCCTCCCCTCCCGTTGCTCCTCGCCCTCCTCGTCTCCTCCCCCCCATTGGGCCGTTCCCACCTCAGTCGGTCGCCCCGGCTCGGAGCAGCAGCACTGACGGCAGCGATAGGAGCCTGGGCAGGAGGAGGGAGAGGAGGAGGAGCAGGAGGAGAAGGAGGAGGAGAAGGAGCACGACCTTGAACAGCCGCAGCAGCAGCTGGAGCGGAAAGAGCGGCAGCAAGCAGCAGCAGCAGCAGCAGCAGCAGCAGCAGCAACAGCAGCTGGGGCTCGAAGGAGCAAGGGGCGGGGAGGGGAGCAGGAGGGCGGCGTTCTCATCTCTGCCCCAGTGGGCTCTCAAGAAATACTGTGGCCGGAGCTGCCGCGGAACCCCGCCGACTGAAAGGCCTGAAAGGTGCGCCGACGACGGCGGTGGCCACCTGAGAGCTTGGAACCTTGCAGTCCCCAGTCTGACCCCTGTGCCCCTGCCGAGACGGGAGCTCACTTGGAGAAGCTATTCGTCTGGGACAGCCTCTTCAGCTCGCTCCTCCAGCTGACATCGGCAGCAGAAGCTGCAGCAGCATGGGGGCGGGGAGCGGGGAGCGGGGGCCAGGCAGTCGGCAGCAGCAGCAAGAGCTCGACGGAGCAGGAAGCGGCGATCTCGCGGAAAGTACAACTGGAAGATGGAGGGCTGCTTTGGCATCGCTGCGCCGCTGGCACTCAAAAACCAATGCGACTGGTACTGCCGCGGAAGCCCGCCGACTTAAAGGTCCGTCGGCGACCGCGGTGGTCAACCGAGGGCTTGGAACCTGGAAGCCCCCAGTCCGACCCCTGTGCCCCTCTAAAGACGGGCGCTCACTTGGCCAGCTCAGTGTCCAGCATCCATGACCCGTGCTCCCGGGCAATCTTCCGCAGCCCCTCCATTGTCTTGTCCGCGCGCTGGGCCCTGTCCGGCGCCGCCTTGATCTTCGCGTCAAAGCTCGCCAGCGTCCTCCTGGCCTGCTGCTGATCCTGGTGCTCCATGCGGGACCTGGCCACGAAGCTGATCTGCCCGACCTTGCCGGGGCGAAGCCGATCCCGCTGCACGAAGTCGACTTTGAGCGGGGCGTCGATCCCCTGCTCCTCAAGGTAGTCTGGGCTGCTGGCGCCGGCGCCGGCCCATGCCACCTGGGCCCCCGCGAGCGCGGCCACCAGCCCGAGCGCGAAGCCGGCCAGCACGGGGGCCGCGCCCTCTCCGCCCGCGCCCGTCTCCGGGGCGGGCACCTGCTGCTGCAGCTGCGCACGCAGGGCGCCGTGGGCGGGGCCCGCGCGCACGCGGCCCGGCTGCACGAACGCGCCGCCGCAGGCGGCGGCGGCCACGAGGGCGACCGCGAGGGCGGCAGCGCGGGGGGGCATCGCCATAGCACGGGCAGGGCGGGGCGAGCTGTCGGCGGGGCGGTCCGGGCAAACAAAGCGCCTGCGGTCAAGGGGCGGGCCCGAGGAGGCGGGGATGGGGGGGGCAGAGGTGGAGGAACTCAGTGCGGGGAAGAGAAGAGCAGCCAAGGCCAGTGGAGCTGTGGGGCACGAGGCGAGGCTCGAGGCAGCCATCATAGCAGAGCCCCGTCCTCCGATGACTTCCGCAGTGCTCCCACAAAAAGAATCGTGCCTGCGAGGGTAGGCTGAGGCTGGGCCGAGCAGGCATCCGAGCTTCCAGATATGTTCAGATGATCTGCCACGCTTGGACTGCATAGGCAAGTATGTCATCAACGCACGGTAGTGTATGGTGGACTCAACTACCATACTGCCTTTCTGCTAGCGTGAATAATTCCAATGGCAACAGTAACGATGACTCACATGTGATCGGGTCAAGATCAGGGTGCTACGAGGTATAAAGCTGCGACTCAGCTGGGCAGGATGGCGGGTGATTTGGAGGTGTTTCGGCTAACATCTCAGCTGACCGCTCGGCCAAACGAAAGAACAGATGGTCAGAATGCAATCATGCCCACCAACGCAGTATGCATGTCCCAGACGCGGTGGGCGCTGTTAGCTAGATAAACGCTCGATCGCGAAGCATCAAGAGCATCCCCTCCCCCATGGCACAATAACTTAGAGCGTATACCTTGCCACGAATGCTGAGCGTTTTGCGCATTCCACCTCTCTAGCGACGACCATACTCCTCCTGTTACCCTTGTCCTCTTCCTTCCGTCATCCTCCGTCGCCTTCTCTTAGATTTGCTCCCTCTCATCCCCCCTCGAAGCTATCATTTATAATCATGTTTATCATCATCGTCAGCCTCCTGATCCTCGCCCTCATGCTCTTTCCTCCTGTTGCCAGGCCTCCTCCGCCCCCTTAATCCTGCTCCTCCTCATCCTTCTCCTCATCATTTCCGTCCTCATAGAATATGTTTTCCTGCTGTCTACGTCCTCTTCGTTCTCCGCATCCTCCTCCTTCCTCGTCTGTTGATCCTCTTCTCCCACTCGGTCTTCCTCCTCCTCCTTTCTTCCACTACCCCTCGGAGCAGGAGAACCAACAGCAGGAGGAAACTAGGGAGGGAGGAGGAAAGATGAGGAAGATGAGATGAGGAGCAGGAGCAGGATGAGCAGGAGCAGGACGAGGAATAGGCACATAAGCTACAGCAGCAGGAGCGGGAACCGGAGGAGGAGAGGGATAAGAAAGATACAAGAGGGGAGCAAACCAATCGGAAGAACAAAGCGGCACCGGTCTGTCGGAGACGATCGCCGTGCGCGCCACTGGGGTCTTCTTCTTCCGCGTGCCGGACTGCAGCCTCGCACCCTCTCAAGCGCTTTTGCCTACATCCTGCTCGCTCGCTCGCACCTCCTCATCCTCCTCCTCCTCCTCCTCCTCCTCCTCCTCCTCCTACTCCTCTCCTTCTTCATCATCATCATCATCATCATCATCATCATCATCATCATCATCATCATCATCATCACAATCATCAACAACAACAACAACAACAACAACAACAACAACCACAACCACAACCACAACCACAACCACAACCACAACCACAACAACCACAACCACAACCACAACAACAACAGCAACAACAACAATCAGTTTAAGACTGATCGCTCTTACTGGCACGAGTGTTTTGCATTCCGTATACCCGGACCCTCGATACCCGCCCACTTCGTCTTCGATTGCACCCCCTTTCGAGGGGAATATATTCCTTGTCGGCCACTGACTGAAGCGCGAAGAAGTCTCGAGCGAGAGCGCCCTTCCTGAGTTCGGGAGCCTCTCTGGCCAGGGGCTCTCTAAATACCAATTGAAAAAAACATCGAACGGGAGCCCTTGTCGCCGTGTCTGGGCCTCCACCAACTTGCCTGTACTACGGGAAAGACTCGAGCGAAAGCGCCGTTCCTGAGCTCGGGGGCCTTCTTGGCCAGGGGCTCTCGGAGTAAATCGTGAGGAAGTATCGAGCACAAGCCCTTGTCGCCGCGGCTGGGCCGGAGCCAACTTGATGAAATTGCGAGGAAGTTTCGAGCAAGAGCGCCGTTCCTGAGTTCGGGAGCCTCTCTGGCAAGGGTTTCTCGGTGTAAATTGTGAGGAAGTATCGAGCGGGAGCTGTTGTTGTCGTAGCTGGGCCTCCTAGGGCACATATTTAGGCTCAAGCCAGCGCTCGAGCGGGAGCCTCGTTTTCAGAGAAACTGTAGCCGGCGGCGAGGCGAGAGAGCGCGGAACCGTTTCCGGAGATCGACAATAACTATGATTCTGAAATGAGTCTTCAACAACAACAACAACAACAACAACAACAACAACAACAACAACAACCACAACAACAACAACAACAACAACAACAAAAACAAAACCAAAAACAAAAACAAAAACAAAAACAACAACAATCATTATAAGACTGTTCGCTCTTACTTGCCCGTGTGTCATTCAAAACGAGTTCCCCACACCTTCGATACCCGCCATTTTTGTCTTCGATCACACCCCCTTTGGGAGGATTACTTCTCTTTGCGGGGGGCGGCGGGCTTAGACAGACGGGCAAACCTGAACGGGCGGACAATGCTTCGTGGGCGTACATGTGCCCGCCATTGGAATTGGTGTGGGCCCTGCAAAAAATAGGAGGGGGAGAACAAGGGAGAGTGGGAGGAAGGGAGGGGGAGGGACGAAGGAAGAGGGAAAACGCCAGGAGAGAAGGAGCGAAGAGAGGGGCGGTTGATTAGAGGCAGAGAGAGAGAGAGAAAGACGGATAAGACATAAGAGAGGTAGAGAAAGAGCGAGAGAGAGAGAGAAGCAAAAAAAAGAGGGGAGAGAGAGAGAGAGAGAATAAAAAAACAAAAAAAACAAAAAACAAAAAAAAACAAAAAAGGAGGGAGGGAGGAGGCAGGAGAGGGGAGGGACAAGGGAGGAGGGAGAGGAGGGAGAGGGGATAGGGCAGGGAGGCATAAGGATGAGGGAAGAGAGGAGGGAGAGAGAAGGGAGGAGAGGAGGGAGGAGGGAGGAGGGAGAGGGAGGAGGAGCAGGAAGGTAAGAGCGTGAACGTTCCAGGACGTCCTAAGCGAAAGCGCCGTTCCTGAAGGAAGTCTCGGGCTGGAGCCCACGACGGGCGGGCGATCCCCTAACGGGCGGGTCGGGCGGGTGGGATATTCAAGCGGGATGCCTAAGTATGGCAAGAGCGCGATTCCTAAGCAAAGTGTGGCGGCGTCCTTGGCGCAGCGTGTTTCCTGAGCGTCGAAAGCACGATTTCTGAATAAATTGCATGGGAGTCACAAGCGAGAGCGCAATTCCTGAATAAAATGTGAAGGGTTCTCTGGCGGGAGCGGGGGTCTTGATTAAATTGCGAGGAAGTCTTGATTCAATTGCGAAGAAGCTTCAAGCGGGAGCGCCGTTCCTGAGTAAATTGTGAGGAAGTCTCAGATGGGAGCGGGGGTCCTGACTAAATTGCGAGGAAGTCACAGGCGGGAGCACCGATCCTGAGTAAATTGTGAGGAAGTCTCAGGCGGGAGCTGGGGTCCTGAGTAAATTTGGAGGAAGTCTCAAGCGGGAGCCGTTGTTGTTGTAATCCTGGGGGCCAGGAGCACGGTTTGAGTACCAAGACTTTCCCTGTCAAAAAACAAGGTGCGAGCGTCGAGGGGCACACTTTGATTGAGAAAAACAATATGCACCGGTGAGGGGGGATCAACAATAATTATTCTTCAAACAATGAAAGTTCAACGACGACGGCGACAGCAACAACAACAACAACAACAACAAGAGCAACAACAGCAACAATCAGTTTAGGACTGTTCACTCTTATCTGCTCGTGGGCCATTCAAAATGTATATCCCAAACCCTTGATACGCGCCCTCTTCGTCTTCGATCGCACCCCCTTGGGGGTATGTGTCTTCCTTACCTGCAACGTGTATTGCGAGCAGCCCCTGAGGCAGGGGAAGAGAGAACGGATGCAAGGAAGGGACAAGGGGGACGAAGGAGGACGGATCACGAGAGAGTGGCAGGAGGGGGACTAGGAGCAGAAAACACGTGGCAAAACCAAACGGGCAGATCGGGCGGGTAGACCGTAACGAACGGGTCGGGAATGCGGGCCCAGGCGGTCAGGTCGAGCAGGCGGGTTGCTGAAGCGCACGCCCTGCATGAATCCCGAGGAAGTCTCGAACGACAGCGCAATTCCCAAAAAAATCATCACGAAATCCATAGCGAGAGCGTGATTCCTGAGTGTCGAGGGCGCGGCGTCTGAATAAATGGCGAGGAAGTCCCACGCGAGAGCGCGACTTCTGCATAAATTATGATGACTTCCCGCGCGAGAGCGCGATTTTGAAATAACCTTTGAGGAGATATCCGGCGGGAGCTGTTGTTCTTGTAGTTCGGGAACAACGCGATTTAGTGACCTCTCTCTATCCATTGTAAAAAACCAAGTGCGAGCCCCGGGAGAAGCACTTTAATTGAAACGTAGAATAGTTACCGCAGGGGGGATCAACAAAAATTGTTCTGTAGAGACGAGGATTCTGCAACAGCAACAGCAACAACAACAACAACAACATCAACAACAATAACATCAGCAGCAACAGCAGAAGCATCAATCCTAATCCTCATCCTCATTCTCATCATCAGCATCACCAGCATCGTCATCATATCATCATCACCAGCATCAGCAACACGATCACCATCATCATCACCATCATGATCATCAGCATCATCATTGTCATCATCATCATCATCAGCAGCAGCAGCATCATCATCATCATTATCATCAGCATGGTCATCACCATCATCATCATCATCATCATCATCAGCATCATCATTGTCATCATCATGATCAGCATCAGCATCAGCATCAGCATCAGCATCAGCATCAGCATCATCATCATCATCATCATCATCATCATCATCATCATCATCATCTTTTTGTTGTCGTCATCATCACTGCGCCTCCCCCATCGCTTGTCATACTCTTCCTCCTCCTCCTTCTCCTCGCTCCTCCTCGCTCGTCCTCCACTAGCTCCTACTCCTCATCCTCATGAGAAGAAGCAGCAGCAGCAGCCTCAACATCATCATCGTCATCAACAACATCATCATCATCATCAGCATCATCACCATTATCATTCTCAGCATCATAGTCATCATCAGCAGCATCATCGGCATCATAATCATGATCAGCATCATCATCACCAGCATCAGCAACATCATCAGCATCATCAGCAGAAGCAGCATCCTCATCATCATTAGCATCATCATCGTCATCGCCATCGCCATCATCATCGCCTTCATCCCTGGCATAAACAACAGCATCGTTATCGTCGTCATCATCATCATCAGCAGCAGCATCAGCTACCACGTCAGCATCATCATCATCAGCATCAGCATCATAATCAGTAGCATCATCATCAGCATCATCACCATCATCATCAGCATCATCGTGATCGTCGTCGTCAACGGCATCATCTTCATCACCACCACCACCACCACCATCATCATCATCACCATCACCAGCAGCATCAGCATCGTCGTCATCATCATCGCCCTCCTCATCCTTCTCCTCATCCTACGCAGCATCATCACCATCACCATCACCATGACCATCACTATCGCCATCACCAGCATCATCATCATCATAAACAACAACAGCATCATCATCATCAGCAGCAGCATCAGCAGCATCGTCATCATCAGCATCATCAGATTCAGCAGCAGCAGCAGTATCATCATCAGCATCATGATCATCGTCATCATCGCGCCTCCCCTTCGCTTGTCCTTCCTCCTCCTCCTGGCTCGTCCTCTACTACCTCTTCCTCCTCTAACTTCTCCTCCTCCGCCTCCATCTACTCCTCCCCCTACGCCTCCTACTCCTCCTCCTCCTGTGCCTCATCATCACCAGCAGCATCAACCTCACCACCACCATCATCAAAACCACCATCATCACCACCACCATCATCATTATCAGCAGCATCAGCATCAGCATCATCCTCATCATCATCAGCATCATCATCATCAACAACATCAGCATCATCAGTATCATAATCATCATCATCTGCAGCGTCAGCATCATCACCATCGTTATCAGCAGCATCATCCGTATCATCGTTCTCCGTATCATCAGCGTCCTCGTCGTCGTCGCCGACATCATCAGTATCATCACCACCAGCATCATCAGCCGCAGCATACTTGATCAGTACCATCATCATCGCCGTCGTAATCATGTGTATCATCATCATCATCATCATCATCATCAGCATCATCATCATCATCACCGTCATCATCAGCATCAGCATCATCATCAGCATCATCATCAGCATCATCATCATTAGCATCATCATCATCATCATCAGCAGCATCAGCAGCATCATCGTCATATTGCCCCAATGGTCCTCGCTCCCCCTCCTCCTGTTGTTCCTCCTCCTATCCCTCCTCCTCATCCTCCTCATCTTCCTCTGCCTCATGATCAGCATCATCATATCATCATCAGCATCATCTTCATCGTCATCGTCATCACCATCACCATCACCAGCATCGTCGTCGTCAGTACCACCATCATGCGGTACCAGTATCAGTAGCATCGTCGTCGTAATCGCGATCAGCATCATTACCATCATCAGCAGCATCAGCATCCGCGTCATCATCATCATCATCATCATCATCATCAGCAGCATCATCGTCATCATCATCAGCAGCATCAGCATCATCATCACCACCATCAGCATCATCATCATCAGATTGCCCCCCTGGTGCTCGCTCCCCCTCCTCCTCCTCCTCCTCCTCCTCCTCCTCCTCCTCCGCCTCCTCCGCCTTACCGTCCTCCTCTACTCCCTTCTTCTCCTCCTCACCCTCCTCCTTCTCATGATCACCATCATCATCATCAGCATCAGCACCAGCATCATCACCATCATCATCAGCATCACCATCAGTATCATCATCAGCATCATCCTCGTCATCCTCATCATCATCATCATCACCACCATCATCACCATCATCATCACCACCAGAAGCAGCAGCATCCTCATCCTCATCCTCACTCTCCTCCTCCTCCCCCAACTGCCGTCTCGCTCCACGCTCCTCCTTCTCCGCCCCCGATGCTGACAAGCGGCGGATCCGCGAGACAATAAAGGGCATTAGGCCTCTGATGTCGCGGGAGTGCGACCCGCACCTCGTAGCGAGGCTCGACCGCTCCACATTGTGCCACCGCCGTGGCTCGTTCGCCAGTGACCAGGCGTGCTGCCTCCTGGATGGTGAAGACCTCGAACGCCGAGGGACCATGATGCCATTCGTCTTAAGAGTTGACCACTGTTTCAAGAATTCTTACGGCTAACGTCCCAGCGACGGCGTTTCGGCAGAATGTAAGACTGTCAGGGCCCAACAACTATGCGAATCCGCGGTGAAGTCCCAGGAATGGTGTTCTAGCACGATTCAGGATAGTCACGACGCAACAGGAGCGTTGATCAGCGGCTTAAAGTCCCAGGAATGGTGTTCCGGCACGGTTCAGGATTTTCGAACGGTTGTCTTCCAACGGGGCACTTCCCTCAGTGAAAAAGTCGTGGCAGGGACCTATGACGAAGGAACTTGGAGGGAAGGTCGACTGCAAAAACGTTAATGAAAAAACAATGCAAGAGGAACAGCCAGCCCCAGGGAACCGCACCCCCCGGCCCGCTCCTGTTGAACAGCGTCGACTTGCCGACGTTGGCCCGCCCGACGATCGCAATGGGGATCGGCGTGAGGCCTTCTCGGGAGAAGTGAAAATCAGCACCGCCACCACAATCGCGAGGAGCCAAGGACTCAGACATCGTTTGTTTAACGTTTTCTTCATCTCGGGGCCGATGTAAAGCTGGCCCTGGAGCAAGGGTCTGAATTCCCGGGGACCCCGCATTGGCAAAACCAAGACGTCGGACCTCTGGGGGGAACCCTCCTGATGGTGTGGTCCCCCTGCGTTGCGGCATCTCGCAAGAGAGATATCCCATCTCCTGCTCGGGGAAGCATTGTGGCCCGCTTGCGGCCGTTCAAGACACCCGACCCCATGTACCCCCCGAAACGTTTCGACCCCTTCCTGGCGGCTGGTGTTTCATCCTGAACGGTTCTTTCACAATCCTGGGCTCGGCGAGGGTCCCCCAGAGCCGAAAATTGCACTCACAAACACACACAAACGCATATCTATATATATATATATATATATACATATATATATATATCATTACCTAGATAGACTCATACTTGCACGTATATATACACTTGCCGGTCGTCCGCGGGCGGGCGCAACGCCACGCCATCCAAAGTCGCCGACGCGCGCGCGCCGGAAGAAAGGTAAGTGGCTGGCCCCGCACGGGGCAGTGGCAGCGGCAGCACTTGGGACGGCGGGAGCTGGGGCGGGGGCAGGACGCGCGGCAGCGGGGCCAGGGCGCGGGCGAGGGGAGCGCTGAGCGCGGGCGCGCGGCGGGCAGCAGGCGGGGGGGCGGAGGGGACAGCGAGCGAAAGGGAGGCGCCAAAGCACGGAGCACGCCAAAGTTAGGCGGGCAGTGGGGCGGCGAAGGGCCGCGCCCAAGAGGGGGCGCCAGCGGGGAGAGCCAACACCAAGGAGGCGCCGGGGCGGCGGCGTGGGCGGAGACGGAGCGCGGAGCGCCAGCAGGCGGGACCCGCGGAGACAATGCGACTAAAACAAAGAGTCCACTCTGTGGGTCGTCAACGGCGGCAAAGGGGGGGAGGCGACGCACGACGTGGGAGCAGACGCTGGCGAGCGGAAGCAGGCAACGATGCGGGGGGGGGAGCGACGGGTCACTGGGCGCGACGGCGAAACTTCGGGAGGCAAATGGACGCCTGGGTGAGGCGGCAACCCGGGCGGGGGGGAGCCACCAGAAAAGCGGCGGACGGCGGAGGCGCACAGATGGCGAGGCTGGCGTGGCAGAAGGCCGACGAGGTCAGCCCGCCACGAAACGGATTGCGGCAGCCGCGTCAGTGTGGTGGGAGCCAGCCTCGGGGCCCCGTGTGGCCTCAGCACTGTGCCCATGCTCACGGAGAACAGAGCGCAGCTGGGCAGTGGTCGCCACACCCGCCGTGGCGGCGCCGGAGACCTCAAGGCGAGAGCCAGACAGAGACCCGCGGCGAACGGCCGAGCCCGAGCGTCGAGGGAGCGCACCTCGAGCAAGAGGGCGGGCGCAGCTTGCCGGCCACAAGGGCGCGGGCGGCGTCCCGGCCGGGGCGAGGCGGCGGGCCGCCCGGTGGGGGGGCAAGGGGCCCGCCGAGGGGCAGCAGGCGTGGCCGCACGGGAAGCGAAGTAGTGACGGAGAGGAGCCGGCGATCCAGCGGCGAGGGAGCCGCGGTCAGAAGCGGTCGCGCAGAAGGCTGCCGGTGGGCAAGTTCACACCAGCGGGCGCGGGCGGCCAGGGGGCGATGCAAAAGCAGGCGCCAAGGATGGGCAGGTCCACATCCGAGGCAGCCGGAAAAGCCGCGAAAGAGGGAGGGAGCTGGCATTCATGCACCGAGGGGAGATGCGGCGCCATTCGTCGCCTGCAGCCCGAAAGACGCCCTCGACCTGCTGGCCGCGGGGCCGCCTGGCGGAGGCGCAGTGTGCGCCCCGATCGGGGCGATGTTCGGGGCGGGGCGATTGTCGTCGTCTGCGCCGGACCCGTCGTCCGGGGCAAGGGGTCGTCGTATGCGTGAAACCAGTACGCAAGCAAAGCTGAAGAGCCCAGACTCTCGCCGCTGAAAGGGCCAAGCCTCGAGTTCGCCGCTGTCCAGGTCAAGGAACGTTCCCGCTGACGGAAGAAGATTCCCGCTCGGCCTGCCCTGCGCCGCTCGCGGTTGGGGCTGCGCCGGTGGCGTGCGCGGGCCAGGCTGGAGTGGCGCGGCGGGTGGCCGCCCAGCGCCGGCAGGCGGGTCCAGGCTGCAGCACCAATGCCCTCAAAGCAAGATAACCCAGCTGCCTCAGCAGCCCCCCAAAGGCTGGTAAGGCGATGTGCCCAGCACGGGCACGGGAGCCACCAGAGGGGGCAGAGCCACCTGTCGCAGTCGGGCTGGGCCAAGAGTCTGGGACGAGGACCTCTGCCCCGCACGGGCACCGGAGGTGCGCATGCGGCCGCAGCGCTGGCGGCGGGGGCTGGGGCCGGCCTCCGTGGGGGGCGGCCGCGCGTGCTGGTGGCACGGCTGGGGATCCCTCTGGAGGAAGGATGCACCCTTTGATGGGTGGCCGCTGGTGAGCACAGCTGCGGCATTCGCCGAGGTAGCACGGAGGCGCGTGGTCCGGCATAGACCTTGGGCTGAGGCGGCCAGGGCAATTAAGGATTAGCCACAGCCCTTCGGCCCTGGGTACGTAGGGAGCGGTCTTCTATTATCTTCAAATATAGGTTGGTCGATATCTTCCATGATGTTTGATGTCATACATGTTTCAAAAAAGGTTCAATACATACACCTTGTTTTTTAGACCAAACATACGCATAGGGAGCCGACAGGAAAGGCGCCGACCCAGATCTGTGCGGGACCATGACTGCTGCTAGAAGAGTGGCAGCGGAGCTGCTGGGCGCCCCGTAGTTGACTGCCGAATTACCAAGCCACCCCAACCCAACCCGAAGACCCGAATTTCGGGTTCGGGGGGGTACGGCCTGCATGTATGTGTTTTTCCATGTTCCCCGACCACACCGCCCACTGGGAATGGAGGGCAAATTGGGGCCTTCGGGTTGGGTTGGGGTGGTTTAGGTGGGCACTGAGTAGTGGGCGGCACGGAGGAGGAACTCGTGGCTGGTCCAACGCTGCGCGCTGCCTGACTGAACTGCGCGCTCGTGTTCTGTGAGAAGGGCGGCCCCGCGGTCGCCACCCCCGCGGAGGAGGCGGAAGAAGTCCTGGGGGCTCGCCACGTGCCGCGACCAGGCGGGGTCGCCCACTGCCACGCGTAGCGGGTGCGGCAGAGAAAGCCCCAGGGCTGCTGTATCCGCACATAGCCAAGCTGGCCTGCGCGAGGGATACGTTGGAGGTGCAGCAGCTGGGGCAGGCCAGCCAGGCGTAGATTCCGCACTCGACACAGGAGCGCCACGCAGCGATACAGTCTTTGCCGAGCTGCGTGCATGAAGGGAGGTCCGGGCAGCGGAGCGGAGGGCGAAGAAGCCTCATCCGCCGCATCCGGACAGCGACGGGGCCATCGCCCCAGCGGCGAACGTACTATGAAAGAGGGAAGCGGGCTTGAGCCAGAGCTGCGTGGAGTAGGTGGTTATCAGGGAAGCGCAGGAGCTGGAAGGACCCAGCGAATCGACTATGGCTGCTGGTCCAAGGCCCACCGAGAGGGACACTCGGGCTCAACCCTGCGGCGCGAGGGATCGCGGCCAGTGGCGTCTCTGTTCCCAAGCGCGCCAGGCCCGCGAGGGAGGCGGATGCGCCAACTGTGCCCGCTGTAGAGGATGTCGAAGTCCTCGAAGCCCTTGGTGCGCTGCGCCCAGTCCAGGTAAGCGTGAAAGTCCTTGGCGTCGTGGAGCGCGGGGTTCAACGGTCTCCGATTAAAGGAGCACCACTGGTTCCATGCAGCCGCCGCGGCGGGGCTGGACCGCTGAAACGTTTTGATGCACTGAACGGCCGGGTCGCTCTCGTCCAGACGCTGATCGGGAGCTGGGGCGGGGGGGGCGGGAGGGGCTGTCCCACTGCCTGTTCCAAAGGCAGACGCAGCCCAGAAATCAAGGGCTGGCGCAGCACTGCCATCGCGAGCCCAGCTGCGCCCGTGGTGTTGGGAGTCATCGGGCCAGCCACTCTCCCAGCTGGTGGCGGGGGTCGACTTTCCCATGGCCCTCCTTCGCGCGCGCCTTCAGACCATGCGGAGTTCCACCCAGAGCCCCACGACGCGGCCGAGTATGACGGCGTGGCTGGAGCTGGGAGCCCCGAGGCCAGACGGCTCTGGACGGTCGCCGCGTTGCGAGGTGGCGCGTCGGTCAGCGTGTGGGGGCTTCGAACTTGCGGTCCAGGTTGCGGCTGTCCTTCACGAGGTCCGGGTCGAACGTGGAGCTCGCTGGGAGCCCTGGGGGCGGGGCCGGATCAGCCGCATCGCGACTACGCGATGCCAGGAGCCGAGAGCGGCCGTCCCGTGCGGAGAGAGGGCGGGCGGCGATGGCCCGTAGCTCCGCGTCCAGAAGGGCAACTGCGACGCATTTATGAACCGTGAGGCGCTGATGCTTGGGGTCATGCATGCGCCACCTGTCGGTGATACGGCTGCCCTTTACGGCGCGAAGAAACGCACACACACACACACACACACACACACACACACACGCACAAACCAAAAAATAAAAAGATATTCAATCGTGTTTGGTTCCAAGATGCCCGGGGGCCTGGGGTGGTGTCGCTCTTCTCGGGGCGGACAACAAAATGGGGGACAGCCAACGGGGGAGGTAGCACATCAGCTGCACGCAGCCAGCCCCCTCATCCAACAGGATCCCCTCGATGATCCTCAGAACGCATGCTCGCGCCAACGTGCGTTGTCCCCCGAAGCCCTGCAGTACGACGCAGGCGGTGCAACGAGGGCCGACAAGGGCTGCGTGCCGCCAGTGGAGCTGAACGAGGACGAACACACATCGGGACACAGGCACCGAGGATTGATAAGGCCCCGGATGGCGCACAGGCAGCCCCCGGAGTAGTCCCGGCTGGCCTCAGCAGGCCCCCCGAGCAGGCCGGGGCAACCTCACCACCCCCAACAATGAGGCGCGAAGCACCCCAGGAGCGCCGCCGGACGGACGCGGCGCCAGGATGGTGAGATCGCCCAGGACTTCTCGGGGGGGCCTGTTGAGGCCAGCTGGGACTGCCTGGGGGTTCTGTCCGTGCGCAACCCAAAGTCTTACCACTGAGGATCATCAATCCCAGACCCCTGGCGTTGTGATTTCTCCGCAACCTGGAACTCCTCATCACGAGTCGCTTTTCGACGGTCCTGGAGCCCAGCGAGGGGCCCGCCGAGAATCGCTAAAAGTGTTTTTGTTCAGGACGCGAAGAGGTCAGGGTAAGGATCATCGATTTTCGCCCCTCTGACCTTCAGGCGGCTCGCGGTAGAAGTTCCGCATCGGCAGCCGCATGGCGAAGCCGCGCGCCTGGCCACAGCGAGCCGGCACTGGCGGCCGGCCGGCGCCGGCGGCGAGGGCGCGGGCAAGCCTCTGCGACAAGCGGAGGGGGTGAGGGGGAGGAGGAGCGAGGAGCAAGGAGGAGCGAGGAGGAGCGAGGAGGAGCGAGGAGCGAGGAGGAGGAGCGAGGAGCGAGGAGGAGAAGGATGAGGAGGAGAAGAATGAGGAGAAGAATGAGGAGAAGAATGAGGAGGAGGAGGAGGGCGAGGAGGAGGAGGAGCGAGAAGGAGGAAGGGCGAAGACGAGGAGGGGCGAGGAAGGGGAAGAGGAGGAGGAGGAGGAGGAGGAGGAGGAGGAGGAGGAGGAGGGGGGGGGACGAAAGGGCACGCAAAAGAGCAGGGTGGAGAAGGAGAAAAGGATAAGCAGGAACAGCAGCGAGGGAGGAGGCGAAATGGAGAAGGGAGGAGGGAGGAAGGAGGATGCGAGGGAGGAGGAAAGGGAGGAGGGAGGAGGGAGGAGGGAGGAGAGAGAGGGAGTGAGGCAGGGAGGGAAGGAGGCAGGGAGGGAAGGGAAGGAGGAGAAGGAAGAGGAGCAGGACCAGGAGCAGGATGAGGGGAAGGAGAAGGGAGACGGGGTGAGGAGGAGGAGGAGGACGAGGAGGAGGAGGAGGAAGAAGCTGAAAGGTGGATCGGCGTGCCTCCAAAGAGGCAGGTCCGAGAAGAAAAGAGACAGAGGCACCACCACCATATTATCACACCGTCAACAACACCACCACCACCACCATCAGCATCATAATCATCATCACCATCACCATCAGCATCATCACAATCAGCATCAACAGCACCGTCAGCATCACCAACACCATCACCATCAGCATCATCAGCATCATCATCATCATCATCATCATCATCATCATCATCATCATCATCATCATCATCATCATCATCATCGTCAGCATCATCATCATCACCGACACCACCACCTCACCATCGTCGTCGTCGTCATCGTCCATGAACTCCAGCCAACCACCCATCCATCCTTCCGTCCTTCTCCATCCTCCCCATCTTCCCTTTCTTCCCTCCCTCCTCCTCCGTCCTCCCCCCTTCCTCCCTCCCCCATCCTCCTCCTCCTCCTCCTCTTCCCTCCTCCTTTTTGACACTTGGTGAACTCGAACGTCTTTGCTCTAGCATCCGTGTAAAAGAAAATGGATGCGCGCTTAGGCCTGCATGCCAACAAATTACGGACGGGCGCAGCAAAAATCCAAAAGGAGGCGAAATACACGTCGATGATGCGCTGTACTCAGGTGTCCGCGACCTCTAGACCTGCTAGGTAAAGTGGAAAGCCTGATTCGTAGATGCACGTGTATTTCTGTGTGCCGCGGTTGTGTTCTAGGTGCTGCTGGAGGTCGTTGCAGCGCCCGTCACTCTGGAACAAGATGAGTCTGTAGACACGGCCACTCTTGTCGTCGCTAAGGAGCTGGCGTACTTCCTGTTGTGGATCGAGAGTCGTCGTTGGTGGTATAGGTGCGTTGAACTGCACACGTGTTTGTCGTTTGTGGCAAGATGGCTTTATTGCCGGAGAGGTTGCTGCATCAGCTCGTAGTCCTTTCTCCCTGTTGGCTCGTGCACTTGTTCGTATTGTGCTACTCTGTATCGTGGGTGCGTTAGGAGTCGCTGTCGCGTGGAGAGCTGCATCTTGCAGCATTTGCAAGTGCTGTTGCTGACTTTGTTGGAAATGTCGTTTTGGTGTGGGTGCTTCTTTGTGCGATGTGATCTCCAGTCCCCAATGGAATTGGAGGTGTGCCCGCATGCGTAGCATGCGTAGACTGCGCGCGGTTGTGGTGTAGCTGGGATAGAACCGTCACTGTCGAAGTCTAGCTGTCGTAGATGCTATTGCAATATTTCTGCGCACTGCTGGTCCACGATGATCCACGTCTGAGACATGTGTTCTGCACTTGGCCTTTTCGACCTGCCGCAGGTAGTGCTTGGGCGCGTCGTGGGCGCACTCGAGGCAGCGTGATGCGTGCCATTGTCTTCGTGGGTCGGCAGTGTTTGTGGTTGTGGTAGCTAGCCAGCGTAGGTCTGAGACTCTCACGTGGGTCCAGGTGAATGGAATATCTGTAGTAGCGGCAGCTGGTGGTGTAAGGTGCTCATGTGTGAAGACGATTATTCGTGGGAGGACGCGCGGCGCGTGAGTGAATAGTCCTGCTATGTAGTTGAGCCGTCGCGGCCGTAGCTCTGTCTCTCAATCGACTCTCTATGCGATGATTTGCAGTCGCTGGTCGGTCACATGGGAGTCGCCGGATTGTAGCCATTGCGTTCTCGTGGCGCTGCGGTACGAGGGGTTTCCAGCTGAGTTGAGTTGTGCTGCGGTCATTTTGCTGAGTGGGTTCCAGACTTCAACTTGTTAGAAGAAATGGCAAATGGCGAACGCACCAGCGAGTCGGACCCTGATGTCGCCTCGCAAGAACTTGTTTCTGAAGTGCGTCACTTCGAGTGGTGCAAAAGCTGCTTGTCTTGTGGCCACATGGTTTGCTACCCGTACCGCTGTACAACATGATGGACTGAAGTGCCACAAGGGTAATAGCAGAGGTGTGAGATGGTGATGTACCGGTCCCATGTTGGACAGTAGATGGCTAGTGCGCTGTTGGCGAAGAGTCTCTGCTTAGCCTTGTCTGTTCCCTTTCCCGCTAGGTACACGGTGAACGCAGACTTGCGCGGCTTGTAGTCGAGCTTCAAGCCGTAGCTAGTCAGTAAGGTGTGCGTGGTGGTAGCCATCTCGATCATGGAGTGTTCCAGAAGGTCAATGTCGCTGAACTGTGCTAATATCAGCACGTCGTCGACGAAGGCGAAGTTAGCAGCGTTTGCGTCTTGGTCTGTACCGTCTCGTTGGCGCGCCGAGAATAACTGTTGTGCTGGCGTCGGTAGTTGTACTGCGTATAGTTGGCCTGTCATGTGCGCCGCTAGATCGTTCAGTGGTCTTGCAAAGGAGAGACTGCATATGGCATCTGCAAGGCTGTTGCCAGATCGCGTGCCTTCTGTTGGGTGAGCAGTCAGGCTTGAGCGCTTGCATGTGAAGCGAGCTGCTCTGCAGGAGTCGATTGATTGTGCTTGGAGGTGCTGGTCGCATCCACGCGCGTTAAGCATCTCTAGGAAATTCGAAATAGCCCCTGCGAGTGGTTTCAGTGCTTGTGGGAAGGCGTGGTGATGATAGTATGCTGCAATGTCGAGATGGGATGTGCGCTCCCCGAATACAATCTCACGTACCACTTCGTGAAATGCTGCTGCGAGGTCGGTGTAGTAGCGAATCGTACGGCATTTGTTCTTGCTAAAATAGTCGGTCGTAAGCATGGCAGCGTGGCAGCCTGGCTGAGGTACGTCGTCGTCGCGTCGGGAGGTGGTCGCTGCCAGTTGCTGTCTCTGGTATTGGGTTAATCGGTCGAAGCGGTTGCGGCACGTGTGGCTGTTGCTCCCAATGTTGTGGTGATCTGGCCGGCTGCTTGCAGGTGCCATCGTAGTTTTGTTAGGGAAGCGTCCTTGGCGTCGGTTGGCATGCTGGTCTTTGGTAGGATGAGTACGCGTGGCCTGTGCGGCCGATTGGTTGCCAAGTGGAACCTTGTATTCCCCTTGTTGTTGCAACGCTGGTGGTGGTAGTGTTTCCCGTTGCCTTTGGTTGTTGCGCACAGTGGTGCTGATCAAGGAGTTGGCGAGCTGTGTGAAGCTGCTGCTGTGCCCCCTGGTCTAATAGGGTGCGCATTGATGCAACACGCAATAGTGTACGTGCCGCTGCCCACTGGTTCCCGATTCTGGCGGTGCCAGGCAGGGTTTGAAGTCGACGAAGACGTTGCGCTACTGCTTGCAAAATGCTGCAGTGTAGGAGTTGGGTGGAGGTTGCTCGGTCAACGTGGCCGTGCAAGTGGTGTTTGTGCTGTCGTAGCTGGAGATGAAGTCGTGGTAGTGCTAGGTAGTGGCGCGGCATAACGCGAAGGCGAGGACCAACAGACACGAGTGTAAGAGTGAAGGGTTGGGAAGGAAGTTCAAAGGTATATATGGAAATGAAAGGGTATAACATGTGAAGCATGAAAGATCTCTGTTTCGCGTGGCCGTTCGATCGGCGCACTGCCATTGGCGTGCCTCAATCGCCTGGCGGGTCGTGGCTGCCTCTTCCTCCTCCTCCTCCTCCTCCTCCTCCTCCTCCTCCTCCTCCTCAACCTCCTCCTCCTCCTCAACCTCCTCTTCCTCCGCCTCCCCCTCCTCCTCCGCCTCCCCCTCCTCCATGCTAACTGCTCCCTGCTCCCTGCGCCCTTCCCCGCACACCCAAGGGGCGGACGCCTCCGCGTTGGCCGCAGCATGCCCGTCGCGCTCCTGGGGGGCTGCGGGGAGAGGCGGGGGGGGCGCCTCCCCCGACACGCGCCCAGCGCCCGCGGCAGGGCACAGAGAGGACACAGGCACAGGCAGGCAGAGACGGAGACGGAGACGGAGACGGAGACAGGGGCAGAGGCAGAGAAAGCGGGAGAGAGAGAGAGAGACAGCGATAGAGAGAGAGAGAGAGACAGCGAGAGAGAGAGAGAGAGTCAAACAAAGACTGAGAGGCAATGACAACGACAGAGGCACTGGCACACACACGCACACAGACACTGGGGGCAGAGTGCGGAGCAGGGAGGGACCTCCCCCTCCTCCTCCTCCTCCTCCTCCTCCTCCTCCTCCTCCTCCTCCTCCTCCTCCTCCTCCTCCCCATCATCATCAGCATCAGCATCAGCATCAGCATCACATCAGCATCATCATCATCATCATCATCATCATCATCATCATCATCAGCATCATCATCATCATCATCATCATCGCCATCAGCATCATCATCATCATCATCATCTCATCATCATCATCATCATCATCATCATCAGCATCATCAGCATCATCAGCATCATCAGCATCAGCATCAGCAGCAGCAGTCAACAGCAGCATCATGATCATCATCATCATCAGCATCATCATCAGCATCATCATCATCATCAGCATCATCATCATCATCATCATCATCATCATCAGCATCATCATCGCCATCGTCACCGTCATCATCATCATCATCGGTGTCGTCATCATCATCATCATCGTCATCATCACCACCACTATCATCATCATCAGCATCATCAGCATCATCAGCAGCATCATCAGCATCATCATCAGCATCATCATCAGCATAATCATAATCATCAGCATCAGCATCATCATCATCAGCATCATCATCATCATCAGCATCATCATCATCAGCATCATCATCATCATCATCATCATCATCATCATCATCATCATCATCCTACTCATCCTCATCATCATCATCATCATCATCAGCATCATCATCATCATCATCCGCATCATCAACAGCAGAATCATCGGCATCAGCGCCGCCATCATCATCAACATCATCATCATCGTCATCATCATCAGCAGCAGCATCGTCAGCATAATCATCGTCGTCATCGTCATCATCATCGTCGTCATCATCATCAGCAGCAGCGGCATCAGCGACAGCAGCAGCAGCAGCATCAGCATCATCATCACCACGACCACCGCCGCCACCACTACCATCATCAGCATTATCATCATCATCAGCATCATCATCATCAGCAGCAGCAACATCACCATCATCATCAGCATCATCATCACAATCATCCGCAGCAAGAGTATCATCACCACCACCATCATCAGCAGCAGCAACGGCATCATCACCACCACCATCATCGTCGTGGGGTTTGGTCACGAATAATCACCGTCACCATCACTATCACCAGCTCCATCAGCATCATCATAACCATCAGCAAAATCATCATCAGCAGCATCATCATCATCAGCATCGCCATGATCATCATCAACACCACCGCCATCATCAGCAGCAGCATCATCATCATCAGCAGCAGCATCATAAGCATCATCATCATGGTCGTCGTCGTCCTCGTCATCATCATCGACACCACCACCAACATCACCATCAGAGTGATCATCAGCATCATCATCATCATCATCATCATCATCATCAGCAGCATTATCATCAGCAGAAGCATTACCGTCATCATCATCATCAGGATCCTCTCCTCCAACCCTCCCTTCGGCATTGCATAACCCCCATCTCCCCCGTCTCATAATTCTTGCCATCCTCCTCCTCCTCGTCATCGTCATGATCACCATCATCATCAGCATAATCAGCATCATCAGAAGCATCATCATCATCATGATAATCATCATCATCATCATCAGCATCGTCATCATCATCATCATCATCATCATCATCATCATCATCATCATCATCATCAGCAGCAGCATCATCATCATCATCATCATCATCATCATGGTCATCATCATCATCATCGGCATCATAATCATCATCACCATCACCACTCCCTCCCTTCCTACTCCGTGCTATCATCCTCCTCCTTATCCTCTTCCTCCTCCTCCTCCTCACCCTCCTCCTCCTCCTGATCATCATCATCCTCCTCCTCCTCCTCTTCCTCCCCGTCCTCCTCCTCACCGTCCTCCTCCTCCAAGTCCTCCTGCTCCTCCGCCTCTTCTTTCTTCTCCCCCTCCTCCTCTTCCCTCCTCCTCCTCCTCCTCCTCCTCCTCCTCCTCCTCCTCCTCCCTCCTCCTCTTCCTCCTCCTCCTCCTCCTCCTCCTCCTCCTCCCCTCCTCCTCCTCCTCCTCCTCCTCCTCCTCCTCCTCCTCCTCCTCCTCCTCCTCCGCCGCCTCCTCCTCCTCCTCCTCCCTCCTCCCCTCCTCCTCCTCCTCTTCCTCCTCCTCCTCCTCCTCCTCCTCCTCCTCCTCCTCCTCCTCCTTCTCCTCCTCCTCCTCCTCCTCCTCCCTCCTCCTCCTCCTCCTCCTCCTCCTCCTCCTCCTCCTCCTCCTCCTCCTCCTCCTCCTCCTCCTCCTCCTCCTCCCCTCCTCCTCCTCCTCCTCCTCCTCCTCCTCCGCCTCCTCCTCCTCCTCCTCCTCCTCCGCCTCCTCCTCCTCCTCCTCCTCCTCCTCCTCCTCCTCCTCTTCCTCCTCCTCCTCTTCCTCCTCCTCCTCCTCCTCCTCCTCCTCCTCCTCCCTTTTCTCCTCCTCGTTTGTCCTTCTTCCTCCTCGTTCCCAGCCGCAACGTCCGAGGAAGTCTCGCTCCCAGCCGGAGCGCCCCAGCGGACCAGCTGGGCGGGGCCGCTCAGACCTCCCGACCCTCGCGCTGCGCCTCCGCCCAGCGGCGCACGCGGCGCATCTGCTCCTCAGGGCGGCGCCCAGCAAGGAGAGGGGGGAGGGGGAGGAGAGGGGAGGGAGAAGGAGGAGGAGGAGGAGCGATAATGGCGGGCGGCAGTGGTGAAAGAGAGACGACATGGCGGCACTGGTAGCATGGGAGACAACAGAGCAGCAGTCGTTTTCCTTTTTCAATACTGTATAGGTCCGCGTGCACGCCGTGAGCCAAGATGGCGGCGGGCGGGCAAGCGCGTTCCTATTCGAGCCGGGGCTCCCGGGCAATGGGGAGTGTCCCTCCGCATCACATCGGCCACAGATGGCAAACTGCAATGAGGTGCTAGAACATTCACCGCGAGACCTCAGCAGCGGACACTCGGCGCAACCCACCCATGGCTCAAGAGCCTCCGCCCGAACGGAACACTGTGAACCCTGAGAGCCTTGCTCGTTCGCTTGTGGTCAGCCCGTACGCGTAGTGACCCTGACCAGCGTTGTGGATCGAAACAACTCCCCAACGCTGGTGGGGCCCAGGGACAGGTTCTTTACCCAGTGCGACCAGCCGATCTTGCCTCACAGCCGAGAGCGTTTGCTCATGGGGGCCCAGCCCAGATCGTGCATGGCGTGCGCTCGAGCCGCAATGCCTTCCAGTCAGGTTCGCTCCCTGGTTCTACTTCTGGCACGCTGCTGGTGTGGCCGTTCGCCTCACTTGTTTGCGTGTAGGTGCCGGCAGGCGTAGCTGGCCGCTGCGTCGCTTGCGCGGCTGTTTGGCTCGCCCAGCTGTCTGCGGCAGTGCGCCTCTAGTTGCTAACGCTTACCAAATCACAACTGTTGACTGGTCCGTGCATTGGTCTGCTGACTGCTGAGCGGAACCGACACGGCGCGTGCTGTCTGGGTGCGGCAAACAGCAGCGCAGTGTCGCGGGCGCCTACCTCGGCCCTCCGTAGCTGCCCCACCACGGGCAGCACGGCGCGGCCGACGCGCCAGGCCACCGCGACGCGCGGAGGCTAGTCTGTGAGGAAGCGTGGCCACTACTGCAACAGTAACTTCTGCGGCGGCGCGCTGTCGCCCTGGCACCTCGCAGCGCAGCCAGCGGCGAGGCGCCACAGCCGGGCGCGCGCGCATAACGCCTGTCGAGTGACTGGCGCGTCGCGACCGCCAGCGCCTCGCGACGAAGACGTTCAAGCAGTTGCCCGCGCGGCGCCAACATCCTGCGAGACAAGAAAGCCCCCGCAGTTGACGGAGAGGCTGGCCAGCTACTGACGGCACGGATCGGCTTCACGATAGTGGTCGTGTCAAACGAGATCTGCGACGCGCGGTCGGGGCATCCTCGCAGCGCTCGTCGCAGCTCGGTCGCCCAGTGCCTCGCCGCCGCTGGTCGGATTCAAACATTCCTAGGCGCATCGGCACGTGGCGGCGGCGGCCACGACGCACGCGCACTCATTCTGCATAGCGCGTTCAGGAGGACAGGGGCAGTGCTGCGCCAAGTGGGGACACAAGCACTCCCCGTCGATCCGTCGCAGGCGCGGCGGGGCACGCGCCGCCGGAAGCCGCGCGTGGGAAGCCGGTTCCGCCAGCTGCCCCTGCCTAGAAGATGAGGTCGCGCACGGCCACGACGACCGCGTCGCCCTGCGCGTCGCTGTCGGACCCACGACGGCGAGCCCAGTGGATGATGTCACGCGCGAAGGGACTCCGGGCGCGACCTCGTCGGCAGCGCCCCAGGGCGCGCACTGCCGCGCGCGTCGACGCGCTCGCGCGCAACTATCCGCGCGAGGGCGCTGTCGCGACGCAGCACGGGCAGCGCGCGGGCGCGCGCTGGGCAGCGCGGCGCCGCCCCCCAGTCAGCGCCCCCGATGGGCGGCCACGGCGCCAGACCGCCGTCGGCGAGCAATTGCGCCCCCCCCCCCCCCATGGCCCACGGGGCCGACGCAGGAGCGACGAGCGCGGAGTAGGTCCAGTTGGCCCAGGGCGCGGTGGAGAGGCCGCGCCCTCAGAACCGCGGACAGCGAGGGCTGGACAGAAGGCCCACTGGAACGCGACGCACTGCGCGTCGACGAAGACGACATAGATGAGGCAGGAAACCGAGAAGAACACGTCAAACGAAATGGAGATGAACACTTACATCGAAGACGCACGTGCCAGGATAGCCCGCAAACACACACCACATCAGCCCAGACAGTAGATGGACGCGACCAGCACCTCCACGCGATGTTCAGTGAGATTGAAAACGTGGGCTATAAAAACCTCGGCAAATATCATATTCAGATCCTTCGGTCGCAGACCGACGCGCGCAAGCCACAGTGCGAGCGCATCACGCTCGGCCCTGCGTGGACTTGGCGGCCCAGCAAGTGGCGACGCAGCCCGCCGGGAACGAGGCGGAGCTCCGTGGAGCTCGACCCCTTGGATCGTCAGGAGCCGAATCAACTACAGGGACAGACCGCGAGCGGCGCGGACCGACAGGGCGCGCCCTCGGCGAGAGGGCGCCAAGCCGTCGAGCCAGTCGGCGAGACCTCAGCGCAGGCACCCCCCGCCAGACGGCGGCCTAGCAGGCGACCGCGTGCTGGGCGAGCCAAGCGCCAAACCCGCAGCAGGTTGAACGCTCGAGATAGATCGCGCTGGGCGGCGAACGCAGGGCCGAGGGGCGGCACGCAGCGAAGTGGATGCCCGCAGCGGCTGGCACACGCCTCAACTGCTCGCATTCACTGAGGCGGCGACGTGGCTTAGTAGGTGGACCGTAGAGATGCAGAGAAAGCTTGCCCCCTGGTGAACGATCACCCAGGCTGTCATCGCACGCCAGCTGACCTGGCCCACTTCAGGTCTCTCTGTGAGCGGCGTCCCGCGCGACATAGCCGGCCGTAGCCTGAGCGCGGTCGGGGGGCACCGACATCGGTGCCAGCGGGCGCTCTAAGAGGGGATTGGAGACGAGCTCAGTCAGGCGCAGGCACACTGGGCGCGCCAGCCCGCGCGCGCGCGGGCTCGCAGCCGGACACGACGGCGGCCCAGCGCGCGTAGCACAATACGTTGCTGGGCACATGCATGATGATGCAGATGCTGATGCTGATGCTGATGCTGATGATGATGCTGACGCTGATGATGATGCTGATGATGATGATGATAATAATACGGATTGTACAGATGATGATGCTTCTGATGTATATGATGATGATGATGATGCTGATGATGGCGGTGGTGATGATGATGACGGATGATGATCATGACGATGAGGAGGAGGATGGGGACGAGGACGAGCATGAGGATGCTGCTGCTGATGATGATGATGATGGTTATGCTGATGATGCTGATGATGATGATGACGATGCTGACTGTGATGATGATGAGACCAATGATGACGCGGATCCCGGTGATGGTGATGATGATGCTGACGCTGGTGTTAATGATGATCTTGATGCTGATGAGGATGACGATGACGATGACGACGGCGACGATGACGATGATGATTATGATGATGATGATTCTGATGATGACGATTATGATGCGGATGATCATGATGAAGATGAAGATGTTGAGGAGTATGTTGCTGCTGCTGATGCTGCTGCTGATGGTGATGCTGCTGCTGATGATGATGAGTATGATGATGATGACGATGACGATGGAGATGGCGATGGTGATGATGATGATGGGGATGGTGACGGTGAACAGTCGCGAGGAAGCCTCAAGGCGACCCAGCGGGCCGCCATGCGCGGTGCATCGCAGGACACAACACGCACTGACACTCGATATTCTACCGCTGTACGAGACAACGCGTGATTGGCAGACATGTCGATTCAAAGTCAGACTTTAGCTCCTTATAGGGTTACTTACCCGTTACGAAAGTTATTCATCTTGAGCACTGACGACTAGGGCGTCTCCGAGTGGCCCCCCCTTCCCCCCGTAGAATCCGAGCACGGCAGTCTTCGGCCTGGCTTGGCGGGGGAGATTTCCGGGGTTCTCCCTGGTAACATTAATAGTATATAGCCAATTCAGAATAAAATCTCCCCCCCCCGTAAATTCACAAGGGGAAATCACTCCCGGTCACTTCCAGGCAACTCTGAATCTCTCCCCGAATGAAACCACAAGGAAGAATCACTCCCATACCACTTCTCACCACAGCGCCCGCACATGTCAATGTTAGCCTATATGAATTAACTGTCGTAACGGGGATGAGGACCCACGACTGTTTCACACGTCAACGTCAGCCAATGTCATGAGGAACCCAAATTCGAAATCCGAACGGGGCCCAGCATCGCGCTCGATAGACACGTCGCCATCATCATTGCCGCCGCTGCTTCGCTGCGACGACTTACTGCGCATCGGAGTTGTCCCGATTTCGAGCCCCGCCGTGGGCGAGGCCGACCGCCTGTTGTTTGCGTTCGCGCCTGAGGCGGATGCGGATTTCGCGCTCGCGTCGGGGCAGCGCCCTTTGCGGCGTCGCCATCGGGCTTCCAGCGGCACTGCGTGCACTCGGCGCGCCAACTCCTGCATGATTGCGCCTTTGCTCGCTGCGTGCTTGCAGTCTCGCATGACACCAGGTTGACGTCAGAATGGTGCTCTCGCCGTCGCGCTGACCACCGCGTTTTTTCGTGTTTTTGTGATGCGTTTTCTGGCTACGTGTCCGGACGGGAAGGCCTATGGCCAGGCACTGACCTTCCCCATCCCCATTCATGGCGCCTCCCGCCGAAGGACCCGACTGACCGCCTGAACTTTTGCAAGTACGGCGACGGGCATGCGCGGCGGCGCCCGCCCGAGGCGCTAGCTCCGGAGCTGGCGGGGCACGACGAGTGCGCCAAGCAGTTGCCGCTCGCCCGGGCGCCGCCCATGCGGGGCGGCATCGGCGCCGGCGGCGCGGCGGCCGTCCTTTTTCACAACAACAAGAAGTGCTCGGTCGACGAGCGGGCGGCGGCCGTGGACAAGGGGCTGCTGGCGAGGGCGATCAAGGCTCTCGGCCCCGTCGATAAGAGGGGCCCATGGCACGTGCTGTGCGACAACGAGCACTTCCTCACGAGCACCGCCTGCCAGCGAGCACACGAGCGGGCCAAGGTCATCCTCTGGCACGTTCCGGCGCACAGCCCGGACTTGAATCCAGTCGCGAAGTACTGGGGGTGGCTCCGGAAGAAGCTCCGGGCCATGGACCTCGCCGACGCCTTGGCGAAGCGTCCCATCCTGGGCAAGATGGCATACGAGGCGCGCGCGAGGCGGGCGATTAAGTCGGCGAAGTCGCAGACCGTGGCAGGCAGCGTTGCCAAGGGTCTGCGGGGCACGTGCAAGCGCGTTGTGGCGGCCAAAGGCGCTGCTGTCAAGGGGTAGCGCTGGTCTCACCCTTGTAGAAGTGCTATGTAAGATACCGCTTACCCGTTACGAAAAGTTATTCATCTTGAGCGCCGACGACTAGGGCGTCTCCGAGTGGCCCCCCCTTCCCCCCGTAGACTCCGAGCACGGCAGTCTTCGGCCTGGCTTGGCGGGGGAGATTTCCGGGGTTCTCCCTGGTAACAATAATAATATATAGCCAACTCAAAATAAAATATCTCCCCCGTAAATTCACAAGGGAGAAATCACCCCCTGTCACTTCCAGGCAACTCTGAATCTCTCCCCGTATGAAACCACAAGGAAGAATCACTCCCATACTACTTCTCACCACAGCGCCCACACATGTCAATGTTAGCCAAGATGAATTAACTTTCGTAACGGGGATGTATGAGCCCCTCAATTTTGAACAACACGAGGAGGGTCTGTGGCCGTGGACGTCAAGGCATCATCATCTCCTCGCCCTCCTCCTCGTCTCCCTCCCCCCCCCCTCCCCCGCCCCCTCGTCCCCTCTCCTCTCCCTCCCTCCCTCCCCCTTCTCCTCCTCCGTCTCCCTCCTCCCTCCTCGACCTCCCGTCTCCCCCTCTTCCTCCTCCTCCCCCTCCCCTTCTCCCCCCCCTCCCCCGTTCCCCTGCTCATCACTCGGATAGGAGCACGCGTGCGCGCCCGCCGCCATTCTGGCCCACAGCGTGCACGCAGATTTATAAAGCATGGAGAGGAAACGTATGATCGCCGCCCTGCTATCTCCCATGCTACCAGTGCGCCATGTCTTTTCTCTTTGCCCAGTGCCACCCGCAATTCAAATTGGTAGCGGAGACGGGAGCGATCCCAGCTCGCGATCCACGGGAATGCGCATAGTGCGATGTGGACGCAGATTCGAACTCCCCCAATCTGTTCATTAGATTCACCTTCGGTTTTCCCCGAACAGCTTGTGCTTGGGGCTGTTCTGCAGGCCGAGTGGCAATCTGCCCTCGGACGCTCACAGGCTACGATGAGGCAAACGCTGGACCGTATGAAACGCGAGAGCCCAGCTGCGCAAGGCATTGGCACCTGCAGGCCACAAGGCGATGTGGAGCAATCTGGTTCACGGGAGCGCCACGATGTTCCCCGTTCCATCGCACCCCACAAGCACTGGCCGCAGCCTCGCGTCGGGCATGGCTGCTAGGCTCTTCCGTGGGCTAGTGTCGTGCCTCGAGATGTGTGCGACAGTGCTGGCTGTCTCTGCGAGCACGTCGCGCCACTCGAGTGGTGCACTGAACGTAACGTACTTATCTCACCACCCTTGGCACCAATCAAGGGCAACAGCATTACAACGACTGCCACCTGCTTCAACATGGCGTTTGTCCCTGCGCAGGCCCGAGCCCCAAAGCGCTTTCGCAGCTCACGTCGT